GAAGAGGAGTGGAGAGAGCAGAGGAAGTCTGAGACTCCCTCTCGGGCAGGGGAGGATTTATTTCATATCAAAGAGAAAAGGAAAAAGAAGTTACTGGGAAAGCAAATAAAATAGATTTCCCCTTATTAGGGGAATCTCTTCTCCGGGGCAGAGAGGAAACTGAGGGGAGAAATATGCATCTGAGCATGGACAGCATGGGGACAGTGTGGGGCAGTACGGGACTGCGGCCGATGTCACAGCCCTGCGGCATGGGCTGAGCTCTGTGGAGGGAATGGGGACCTAAAAGAGCAATAACAAAAATGTAAGAAAGAAAACAACCACAAGAGAACATAACTGTCAGCGCTCGGGGCACAAACCACAAAAGCTGGGACGGATTCAAACGAAACTTCAGCTCCCGCGTTTGCTCTCAAAGCTCTCGGGACGCACGGGACGAGATGGGAACTGGGGGATATTCCTGACCATGGCAAAGGAGTAGTGAGAGCAAAGCTGTTTCCATTTTCCCTTGATATAGATTCAATTTTTTTAATACACTATGCTTATAATGAAAGAAAGGTAGGACGAAAGAAGAAAAAAGAAAATAAATAAAAATAAGTTAAACGGAAAATTAAACCATCCCAGATGAACATTCAGAGCTACAAAATGTTCAAGCCTTTGGTTCGTCTGGGTCAGCCCGTGGCTCCTTCAGTGCCGCAGTAGTTGGGCGAAGCCCGCGCTGGGGGAATAGGGCAGAGAGCAGCCTGGACCCCCCCACGGCAGTACTGAGTTGTTGGCGGCGTGAGTAGGGCCGGCCAGCTCCAGCAGGACGAGAGCCGCCAGAACAGAGCACCCTCAAAGGACATGAGGACGGCGAGCCACCGGGCCGCCGAAGGGGTCATGGAAAAAACGGATTCCCCGTCGCGGTCCTAGAGGTGTCCCGGGAGGGGAGCGCAGAGGCCCGAGCTCTCCCCGGGGGCCATCCCTGCGGCCAGATGTGGAGCCGGAGGACAGGCTTTCTGTGCCACCCCGGATCCGGTGGTCCCGTACCCACAGGGAGAGACGCCCTAGAGAGCCGGATGCAGTATCACAGGCATTGAACTGTTTGTCCCTTTCTCATTTTCCCTCAGTGAAGTGCACCCAGAAAGCCCCCGTTCCAATCCTCTCCGTCCGAGGCAGCCCAAGGGGCTCCCAGGCGGCGGGATCCTAGGCTTCCCCTTTTTCGGAACTTGTCTCTCCGGGGGTCCCGGCTCGCAGGAATGCGGGGGTCTTCCGCCGAGCCCTTTCCCCACCCCCGGGCCGGATCCCCGAGGAGCGGCGGCTCCCGCAGCCCGCGGCCGTGCCGCGGCGGTGGCGCTGTCCATGGTGCTGGGTCCGCCCGACCGCCGCGAGCACCGCGGAGCCCCGAGGGGGCGGCGGGGGGCGGGATCTGGGCAGCGCGGATGGGGTTGGGGGGGGGGGGGGGGGGGGGGGGATGGCGGGGATCCGTGGCTTTGTCCCGCGTGGGAAGCGGTGCCACAGCCAACTTTGCCCGTGTCCCGGAGGTTCGGGCAGCTCCCCCTTTTCCTGCTACCTCCCGAAGAGAGGGTAGGCAGAAATGGCAAAGGAAAACATTTCGTATCCACGGAATTTGTATTGCTATAATGGTAATTAAAAAGAAATAAATAAGGTGCACTTAAAGAGGTATAGGGCGTGAAAATTTCCCATCCAGCCTTCGTCCCAGGATCAAATCAAATCCGTTGACTAAACTAGTGACAGTGCTCAGTGGGAGCGAAGGTAGAAGTTAAAACGTATGAGAAGGACACCGGGAGCCTCTGGCCGAAGCTCCCTACAAGCGTTGCATACCGATGGCACTGCCACGCTCCGTGCCGCACCTAGCAGAGCTGCGGGACCCGGCCCACTATCGGGGAGGGGAAGTTATTTTCGCTCCCGCCGGTGGCAGTGGGCTCTTCACTTAGGGTGCTTCACAAAAGAAGGGGGAAAAAAAAAAAAAAAAAAAGAGAAGAAAAGAGAAGAGAAGAGAAGAGAAGAGAAGAGAAGAGAAGAGAAGAGAAGAGAAGAGAAGAGAAGAGAAGAGAAGAGAAGAGAAAAGAGAAGAGAAGAGAAGAGAAGAAAAGAAAAGAAAAGAAAAGAAAAGAAAAGAAAAGAAAAGAAAAGAAAAGAAAAGAAAAGAAAAACAAACAAGCAAACAAACAACAACAACAAAACAAACTAAGAAAAACCCACCACCACCACCAACAACAAAAAAACCCACCAAAAACAACAACAAAAAACAACAATAATTCAGTATTTGGTGAGTTTGGATTAAAAAGAGAGGGCGTAAAATGTTCTCGGGAGCGGGGAGATGCGCGTTTGCGTTATTCATCTGATTGTGTCCTAGATGGCAACTTTAAAGAGGGAGTTTAAAGGCAGAGCTCTGGAGACAGCTCTTTGCCAGGCATTAGGGGATTAGGTGGGGCTTGAGCAAAGGGAAATGGGAATCACAAAAGAGGACGGCCCGGGCCTCTCTGGTGAGGGGTCAGTTCTCCCCGTGCCGCACTTCGCGAGCAATAACCGCTCTTGTCTGCGCCGGGACAAACCCGCCCGCAGACCAGCCCTCGGGTGCGTTCCTATGTGCTGAACCCCGCGGAGGGGTGCGGGGCAGTGTGCAGGTATAACGTTTCGGCCATGGACCCGACGGATCGCGACCCACGGCCCGGGGCTGGGCGACCCGCGGTCCCACGTGGGCGCTGCGAGAGGCGGAGCGGGACATACAGTGAGACAACTCCCCGCAGGGCAGCGCCGCGGCGGCGCGATGCTCTCCCCAGCACTGAACTCATTCCCCACTCGTGTTTCAGGCCGGGAAAGTCTTCCGGGGTTATGTTCACGGAAAATCTCGAGGCCGCGTGGTATAGCCAGTGCTGCTGCCCTGAGGGTCGGCACGCGGAGCCTCCTTGTGCCGGACGCAGGGAGGGCAAAAAGGGGTGCTGAGAGGGGACCTTCCCCTACGTGCCTCCCCGGCAATGGTCACAGCGTGACGAACAGAGAAGCGACTCAGTTTATGAGCAAGTTAAACCGGGGCGGCACGTCTCCGAGGATTCACAGCTCACCTACACGTCTGAGAGGTCCTCAGGAAGTGTGAATGAATACATTTCTGAATACACTTCTTCCTTTTTTTTTTTTTTTTTTTTTTTTAATAATCTCAGAACAAAAACCCAGGGTGCTGCCGGGGGCAGGGCTCCGCCGCAGCCCGCTTCCCATCAGAGAAGCCCTTCCTCCTCCGTCTGCACCAGGAGAGAAGCTCGCAGGGTGCGCGCCACAGCTGCGTGATCCGCAGCGAACGCTGCGGCACGGCAATGTCCGACTCCCACATCTTCACACGGGGCCAGGAGGGAGAGCGCTCATGAGGAAGAATAAAAGTGCTCGGAACAAGTGGGACCGCACCCATCGGCCAGTGCGGGCTCGGAGATCATTTGCCTCTTCCCATTTGGCCACTTTTTGTTTTTGCCACCATTGAAATGACAGTAGTTAGGACGGCGAAATGCGGAGATGCAGTAAAGCTGCTTGTCTGAATCCACTTTGAAGTAATAATGCTGTTGGTCTGAAATCCAGATCTGCCCGCTAATCTCTGGTTTTGCCTTCAAATGGAATTCAGATACAAAGAGCTTGGAAAGATTTTGCGTCTATTCAAGAGGCACAAAATCTTCAATTTTCTGAGGAGCAAAAACTCCCCAAGAAACTTCATATAGCTCCTTGGGTTTTGCTTAGCATACGTGATAAAACATTGATTGTCGCAGTCTGGTGACCCATGAAATTTGGGGGTTAGTTTTCTCTTCAGACCAGAGCATATAATTATGCAAATAAAGAGCTGTCACCGATCTAGTGAAATACTCACAAACACACGCAATCCGAAATGGAACAGAAATGTGAAAATTTGCGGCATTACTATGGTACAATGATAAATGACATCTCCTCCCAACTTTCTCGAGAAGTGCGTATTTCACACTTTGTCGATACAACGCGGGCGCGCACCGAGGCGCGCATACCCGTCCCTGCAGGATCCGGGTACCCACAGCTGCGTGCACACACACACGCGCATCCCTCGATCTGCGAGATGCAGCGCTGCCCGAGCGCTCGGCGCGGGACGTGCACGCTCCTGGCAGCTCGTTTCGGGTTTGGCTGAGACGACTAAGGTGCAACGTGTGGCTCCACGCAGCCTTAGATGTGACACTTTCTTTTGTACTTCTGAATGAAATACCTAGAGGGGGAAAGAAAACAATCGGTGATGTTTCTCGCGGACAGGGGAGGAATGTCCTTTTCCACGAAAAGCCGCATCTTTTGACCGAGTCCTGGAGAACTGCACCGTGATGGCTGTAACCGGCGTGCAGCAATGGGCGCACGATGCAAATGAGCGGTTGATTTGCCTACCCCCACCCCCCTCCCATTTTATTTTCTGCAGTCCCGCTGTGTTGTGGGGTTCACATGGGGCCGATGGCTGCTTTCCTGGAGGAGCTTTTTCCCCGCTCCCCTTCCTGGCGAGGAGATGCGGCTCTCGTCGGCCCATGCACCGTGCAGAACCCATCCCACTGTGTATTTATATGTATATATTTTTGATTTCCCTCCCTACCCTGAAGTCCCGCAAGACGCGCGCATGCTACGCACACCACGCCCGATGTCCCGAAGTCCCCCTGTGATGCAATGTGAACAGGCTCAAGTCAGACCTCGGCTGCTAAAGAAATCACTGCCTGAGACGGGAGATGATTAACTTTAAAAAACATCGATCCAAAGGAACCCACTTCTCCCTTCTCCTGAGTGCTTGAGAGGCTCTCACCGTACTCTGACCGTGGGGGTGCAGATAATGGGGCTTTCTCCCACCCCCCCTCCCCGCAGTGCCCCCATCCCGCACATCCCGCACCCGCGCATTCCCTGCGGACAGAGCAGAGCTGCCCGCCCCTCCCGGCCCGCCCCGCAGGGTCCCCTCCCCCGCGCCCCCGGAAATCCACAAAGCTTCTCCCCAGGCTCGACCCAGTTTATTATGACTAACATTTTATTTAGATGATCGACTTAAGGACAGGGATCCGCCTAGGCGCTCCGCTCTGCCGTTTCCCAGTCACTGGGGGGTGGGGGTGGATGCAAAGCCCCCCCGGAAAGGTGCAGTGCAAGGGGCAACTCCAGCCCCGGTTGGGCCCCTTTCCCACGTGGAAGGGCGTGGAGCTCGGCGCTGGGACAGAGAAGCAGGAGCTGGGATGAGAGCATCTTTATTTTTGGTCGTGGGGGGCTCGCTGTGCTTTACAGATCCTTGTGGAAGCACAAGCCAGGTGAAGGCACGATAAGGAAAAGCTGTAAGAACTGGGCAATCATTACAAGTAGAAAAATCATTTCTTATCCACTCTTAAAAAAAGAAATTAATTCCCATAACGTTTGGCAACTCGGCCCTCCAATGGTGTCGGACGGTGGCTGGGAGACAAACTTCCCTGGCCCTCTGCTCCTCCTCCTCCTCGGAATGCAGAAGATGCTCTTCCCCTCCACACCCCTAAGGGGACCGGGCCAAGCCTCTCTCCCTACCTCCCTGCCGCAGTTCTCTGCGGGAATCTGCTGTGCAAAACCCGCATAGGCTGCACCTGACATACCAAAATCGAGGTTTCCCTAGAATCACAGGAATGCAGAACAATTCGTGCTCAGAACTGTGAGCCCTCCAGGGGCACAACCTCAGCACACCCCCAGACCCTGCCCTTAAGTGTGGAAGATCACAGGGGAGGGATGAGCTGGGGGGGTCCTGAACTCCTGAGTGGCATGGTGAGTTTCACCTCCTCATCGCTAACCACATCAGAGGCGAGGTGGGCATGGCCACTGCAGAAAAGATCACTTCAATTTAGCATCATCAAACCTAAAAGAGCTTAATTAGTGTGCTCACAGGCTGGGCACGCCGTCGGGCATGTCATGCAGCTGATGCAGTGCAGAGCGGCACCCAGCACAGAGGGAGCCGAAGAGTGGGCGGGGGTACACACCAGTGGCAACGTCCTTAGAAACCCAGCATGTGAAAACGGAAGCATTTTTGCATTTAGAAATAAACAGGAAAACGTGGCCTTTCCCTTTTTGTTTCTTTTTTTTTTTTCTTTTTTTCTTTTTCTTTTTTTTTTCTTTTTTTTTTTTTCTGTCATATTTCACAGTGTGATCCAGGCAGTTAATGAATAGCCACTTTTTAAAGTGGAGCTTTCAAAAGGAAGATAAGATCCACAGATAATGCCATTGATCCAGCAGGTGGAGAAAATCTCTAGAACAAAGGGGCTTTTCCATAAATCTGGACCAAACTTCTCTGACCCTCCTACCAGCAGAAAATGAAAGACTGAAGAGCTGATCCCACTTGGTCACCGAGAAAGAGAAGACTACTGGATCTAGAAACGCAGCCCCGGCAGGGCTATGTCAGGGCAATTAGAGCTGCACGATGCTGCACTGTGCAGTACCACTGTCAGCCTTAATCTGTGCGTTGATGGGCAGCACGAAATCCAAGTTACAGCCCACAGGAAGCACAGCCAGTGAACCCATATTGCTTTGACAGTTGCACTCATCTAGAAATAATGCAAAACGTTATTTAGATGTATACATCACGACCCTGTGCTCTAGGAAGAAAACAATCTAATGAGGGGCTGGGAGACTCCTTGCAGAGAGCGAGCAGCGAAGAGACTTCTCCCCCTTCCTCCTTTTACAATTCTTCGTATTTTATCCTATTGGAGCGCCGCATTGGGGCTGGCTTCACTGAGCTGTTCTTTGCCTCTATTGCTTCGCTGAAGAACTTGAAAATGGATGGAAAGCTCTTCCAGGAAGTCAGTTCATGACGCTCCGTACCTGCAAAAGAAAGTCACAGCATGAGTCACTTCTTGGTGGCCTGGGCATTGCAGCCAACCTGCGCTGCAGACATAGCCGTGCGGCACACAGTGATTGGGCTCTGCTTGTGTCAGAATGGCAGAAGTCCAGTGGTGTGCCTGTCCAGGGAACACACAGTGTCCCGTTTGATTGGCTCCATGGAAGCATCTTTTCTGTCCAACTGAGAAGTGCTGGTATGCTTAGTCCTGTACCTTTTGTTTTTCACAGCTTTTAGCTTGATACACGCATACTAGCAAAACCAGAGGCCAGACTTCAGCAACAATCACTGCAAGGCGGTGGTGCTTCCTTCCTCAAAAAAACCAAACCTGACACATGGGCAGAAAGCAAGTGTCATTCCACTCCTCCTTCTGCATCCCACTCAACCGTATCTCTTCGTTTGCTGGGTGTTTCAATTGCTTTTCAAGTATTTCCTTGAATGTGTGCTGCATAGCTCGACTTATAAAAACAAACAGGAAAATGTCCCAAATCAACCCAAGAGAAGTGCTCACCTTCCCGTGGAGCCAAGCACCGGGGAAGTGCAGGGATCTCTTCCTGGAGACCCCAGTTACATGGAGACGCTGCCTGGAAGTCTCTGGATCCCAGGCCTCTGTTTGATACTTTAACACTGTTAATGATAATTCTTTAGTCTGTAATAGTAGGTCATTGCTATGGTTACTCTACAATGGCGCAACACTTCACTTTCCCCTTCAGCTATTCGCTGAGACCCGGTAACCACATTTGTTGCCTAGCAACAGTTTTGTGACAGTACCACGATCTGGGGGTGACGACAAGGAAGGACGTGGTAGGCCAGCGGGGACAGCAGGCACAGACCCTTGTCCTGTAGGACTCTCACCCGTGTCCCAGCACAGGACACGAACCCTCGGCACGGCTGGTGTCACTGCGGTGCCTGAAGGCCTTCCGTGGTGCGTCGCCAGGCAGTGCCACATGTGTGTCACCTGCCAGTGCGGGTTTTATGGATGGACTGGATGCCAGAGTGCAGACAGACGGTGCTCCTGACAGACAGGTCCCCTCGCACACCTGTGTCACACACATGGAGCGCAGTGCAGAGCCCCGCCAGGCACAAGGCCTCACAGATGGCTCCCCAGGCCCGCACCAACACAGAGCCGGCGCCATCGCCTGCCTGCAGCCATCCCCTTCTGTCCCTGTCGCATTCATGTGCATTAATATCTGCTGGATTCAATTAGGTGAAAATACAGGCAGCGAACATTATGCTTTTCTTTCTCCCTCTCTCTCTCTCTCTCTTTTTTTAATCAACAACGTTCCTCCTTTGTGAAAGGGCCATCCAGAAACAAAGAGTGACAAAACAATAAGTTTCTGAAGCCTCCCCTTCCCTTTTTCTGCCTTGCCTTCTCCCATGCACTCTCCTCATTTCCTCAAGAGAGATCAGGCTCACATTCACTGGTGCTTCTGAAACTGATTAACCTAAAGCTTTCCTGTAGCAACCCTTCTCAACCCACCCCTCTCAAAAAACAATTCAAGCTTTGAATCTAGAGGGACTCAATGATTCAGTGGTCTAAAGCAATTTTAACACTCCCTATTTTCTCCTTCCTAGTGACTATCTTACTGACAGATGAACAATTTCCCTGGTGATAAAATCACTACAATGGCTATTTAGTTTCTGGGATTATGACGATTCTTTGCCTGATTAATACTGCAATAAGAAAAGCTTGCCAAGTATCTGCCTTGGCCCTTTATAGTCATTTAAAGGTCAAATTTTGTCCTTACTTATTCACATTCAACTACCACTAAAGGGAGAGCCCTAAAAATTTAACACTGCACAGACTGTGCATTTATGATTTATATACCAAAGGCTTGGGAAATTTGACAGAAGTGAGAGGAGTTATGTCCTCAGGGTGATGACAGATTTGGCCATAACGTTTTTGCCAGAGGAAAAATATCATTAATGACTGCAATCTCACTTGTGTATTTAGTAGTAGACAAATCTAAATTAAATGGGTGAGAAGCCATCTATTTTTTGATGGAAATAATCATTTGTGAGGGCCATATAATAAGAAGCTTTCGTACTACAGCTAAGATACTCAAAGGTACGTATCCTCATAGTGCTCACTAATTTCAATAAATATGATTATAAACTGCACAACTCAGAACACCACATTAAGCAATGTTTTGGAGCATGATGTATGGAATGTGGTGTAACAAAAAGATGTATGCAAACTGCTACATGTGGCAGACAGCTGGAATATCCTAAACTATGCTAGGTCTACTGCTGCAGAAGGACAAAATCCATCAACCTTACTTCTCCCAACCCCAAAGAGACCCAGAGGGGGATACGAAAGGGGTCACTCGGGGATCTGCAAATGGATGTGAGATAGTACTGGGGAATCATCAGCATGGCACAGTAAAAAAAACACAGAAAGGGTTTGAGAGAGAAGTGACCTCCTGGCTTCCAGTGCAAGAGGAGGTAAGGAGAGATGGATTTGTGTTTTACCAAATGCAGGACACAGTCAGGAAAGAATTCCAAAAGTGGATCCAGCAATATGTGAGGTAACATGAGTAATCTAAAACAGTGAACAAGGTACAAGAATCAATTTATACACTGCAAGAAAGAGATACTGACAATTAGAAATAATGTGGACTTGGTGATACAGTTGTTAATACAAAAAATCAGGTAAGGGAATACTCGCTAAAATTTAATATACAAATCACCAGGTCTGGATGACATGCATCTGAAGGTCTTCAGGGAATCAGTTAATGAACTTGCTGAACTACTGGCAATTATTTCTGAGAATTCATGCACAATCAGGTAGGCATGAAAGGACTGTGATGGGGGGAGGAAAAAAACCAATCCTAATCTGAGAAAAGAAGGATTAAATAAAATTAACACACATAATATTTATGTTTGAATGCTATTAAAGCAAGAGATCTGAAAAATAAAAAACAAAAAACAACCCTCCCCAAAAAAACAAATGAAAAAACCCCAACAACCCTGAAAGTACCTTTAGGGTAACAGAAGCCTGAGAACAAAACAGGCTCAGATTTAACAAGAACAAAAAGGAACCAAATTCAACCACTTCACTGAGTAACAAAAATTGGTGGGCAAAAGATAGATCAATTTCTGCATAGGTTAATCTGTGTGGGAGTAACCTGAAGAATCACAAGTGATTATGGCCTTCCTTATCTGGTAGGCTGCCACTGTCCTTGCCTCTTGTGCATCAGTATGCTTTGCTCCAGTATGGAGTCTTCACCAAGCCTGAGATTTCTGGGGCCAGATCCAGCCCTACATGACTCCTCACAGATGCTGTGGACAAGCCCTTCTGCAGGCATCCTACAGCACTCAGCATGAGCGCACTGGTGATGCCTGTGCTGCTCTTGTGGTGACCACAGTCACTGGGTGGCCATGGTGCCCATGTAGGTCCAGGCTCTGCCAGTGGGGCTCCGGCCAGCATCTCACCTCAGCATCATCCCTCACCTCCTCACACGCTAGGGCTTCACGGTCTTGTGAGTAAATGCTGTTGCACCTCTTGGGACGAGGTCAGAGCACTTAAGAAGATAACTAATACATAGTGATGCGAGGTGGAAAATATATCTATGGTGTCCCAGTGGGATTGGTATTGTGGTTCAAGTCTTTTAAACACAGCTATTACGGAGTGATCTAAAAAAATAACAAGACTGCTTATTATTTAACTGGATGAATTAAAAGATGACGTTGAATAGGAGATAAAGCAAAAGGAGGAGACAGAGAAAAAATAATAAAAATAATAAAGTAGAAGGAGTCTAAATGGGTAGAAGAAATGCCAAAGCGAAAAAAAATACAAAGTTTGGATTGATGACTGCAGAGGTGACTGCGTGTTGTGGCCAGGCGCACAGTGAGCACAGGCATGCAGACATCCTTGCTATTTCCCAACTTTGCTCCCACCCAGGAAAGCTGTCCTTTGATGGCACCGGGAAGGAGCACTGCCTGCCTGTGTGCTGCCATCGCCATCACTTGCTCTGGCGCAGCGGCAAGGCAGTCACTGCGGTCACCAGCTGTGCAGCACAAAGGTGCCCCCCTGCCGTGCCTGCCCACTGCGCGGCACAAAAACCTCCTCCTGTTGTGTTTAGAAGTGCGCAGCACAATGGCGACTCCCCACGGGGACGACACGATGTGTGGGACAAAGGTTTCCCATGCTGCACAGGAGCAGAGAGTCCTCGAGGCACGGCTTCGCACTGAGGCACGTCTGCAGAGAAAAGTTTCCAGGTTGAAAAGTTTCTCCACAGATATTAGCCACAACGCTGACCCAGGGTCTGATTCTTTAAGCAGCAGTTCAATACTTCAATACCGCAGGCTTCAAAAAGCATTAAGGGTGCTCCACGCCTCAGGATTTACTCCCTGATGGAGGAGACAGCCTGGCCGTTCTCCGTGGACACCTCGCATGGTGGAAAGCTTCCAGCCGGTGTTGGTAGGAGTGAATCCTGTGCCAGCTGCTACATCAGACCTCGTTCCCCACCACATTGCTTGCCTCTGTGCTTGTGGTGCCAGGCTTTGAAACACACTAGTGCAAAGAGCCTTATCAAAGCTCTCTCTGAATGTTTCAAAGGGTGAAAGGCAGCCTTCTGGGGCCATGTGCACAAACAGCAGCGATTTAAAACTTAGCAAGTGTGTTTTATTCATATTTATACAACACGGAGAAGCAATGCCATTCATTCTCCTTTTACAAACAAATGAACAAATCAACAGTCACATTCCCCTCTGACCCAGTGATGCAAATACCATTCAGAAAGATTTAATGGAAATTTATCTTTCTTTCTCCCATGATGCACACACGCACAAATTAAAGTCTTCATGTAAGACTTTATAGTCTTACATATGCCATTCTGCAATAGTGTTACAACGTGATTATACCATTCAAATCTTCATGTGTGTGTGAGAAAAAAAAGCATTCCTGCCTCTGATGCTACTAAATGACTTCTATATCACAGAGTTATTTCTAAACAGGTATTTAACTTTTTAACCTTTGGCT